TTTTCAGCGAGGGGAGGGGAGGCCGATGTGAGGGAGGCCCATGAGAGGTGAGTTCTGAGAACCAAGAAGGTGCCGGATTCAAAATGGGAGTCCCTTGTGCCAAGACCAGGCAGAACTGTGTGTGCAAAGGCTCTGAGGGGGGACCGTGCTGGCTTGAGGCGCAGCACAGAGGGCAGTGTGGCTGCTGCCAAGAGAGGCGAGGAGGCTGGGAGGAGTTGGCCAGCCCAAGAAGCAGCCGGGAGGGTTGGGAGCAGAGGGCGTGATGGCATTTGAGGTGTCCTGGAAATGGATCCTCAGGTATGGTCAACCGAGGACGTGGACGAGTATATTTTGCCTTATTTCTACACTGGCAACCAGGGCCTGGAAAACTATCCCTAGTTTCAGAAAGATCTCCATGGTTCCGAGAGAGGAAAGTTTCAAATACACATTCTCCGGGCTAAAAATGTGCCCCCCCACTCCAAAAAAAATAGCCCTCCATTAAGGAGCAGTGGTAAAGGAGCTCCCATGGAAGATGAATCATCCCTGTGTCTGGCTACCTCACTATGCCTGAGGGTCATCTGTAGATAAGAGCAATCTATAGCCAGCCCACTGCACTCTTCTGACGTCCTCTTCTGATACAGATCAGATGGCTCCCTTGGGGATGGCCTAGGGGTGTTTGAGGTCAACTAGCCAACTAGCACTAGGTCAAGAGGATGACTCAATTCATTATGATGTTGCCTACTTATGAGATTGCCCGTCGGCTACGTATATGTTCGCTGTAGGACGTGCATGCCTTTTGAGAGACCTGTAAGCCCCCTTATACAGACCCACTGGGAAACGCACTCACTCTCTTCGTCCTGACATAGGGGCAAGGAAACCCTGTGCCCCACTGCCTGTCTGTCTGTCATATTTTCCACAATCGTGAAGGCGCTCCTGAGGACCTGCACCCCGATACTCAAGAACTATGGGAAGGGGACTGTCGGGGGACAGAGTAGCAATAGAGCGGGGAACCACTGGGCAAGGGGAGAGTGGCCTCAGGGATGGGAAAGTGGATGACTACAGGGCCCCAGCAAGGTCCCTCATATACTGTTTGGGCCGGGTTCGGACCAAGGCAGCCCCTTGTACCAGCTTCGCAAGAAGACAAATGACCTGGCTGAATTTCAAAGCACCTGAACTCCGAAGCACCTGCCTTCAGTAGAC